CCCCCCCCCCCCATAGCCTACATATTGGGGGAGGGGGTTAACAACCCCCCCGACGTCGACCTTCGACAACCGCCACCCCACCCGGGGATCGACAACGGCAAGAAATAAGAAAAAAGGAAAACAACACATTTCGAAATGTCCAGTTGAAATGATTGGACATCCACATTTGGACGACAATTTGCAATGAACACAAGCACGACATCTCCATCGACGACTGTGTGAGGGTATTCACGATATGAACAATAGCATTCCATAAATGGACGGCATTAGAGACAACACCTTTATTACACCTTTGCATTTTATTGGGGGAGAGGACAACAAAACACATGCTGGGGGGAGAGAGAGGGGGAGAGAGAGAGAGAGAGAGAGAGAGAGAGAGAGAGAGAGAGAGAGACGGGGGAAGAGACGAAAACAGAGAGACAGAGGGAGAGAGAGAGAAGTACATAGATAGAAAGGGAGAGAGACAAAGCAAATCCATGTCTTCATTTAAAAAACGAAAGTGCATAGTGCACTTCATCGCCGCCAATTCAAATTCAGAGATGATGGAATTATCCGTCCCGCCATACGGCAGAAGCCTACGACAGACCAATAAAAATAAAGAAACAAACGTCAATGTCCACAGGAGGAGTCATCTAGCCAATCGGACCACTACCCACTTCCCTGGCCAGCACGGCCAATGGGTCACGTGTAGCCCGGATGAGGGCTATAATGTCGTCGACGGACCAGTATGACGACCTCCTTCCTCATCAACGTCACCTTCGGCATCGCTCCCCTTCCCTGCCGCTTTTTTCCCCCGACGACCATTGTGGGCACACGCCTTCGTCTTCCCGCCCCTCCCTCCCATGTTGCTTTGCTTGAACGGCGAAACGTAGCCTGTGTCGTCCTCCCCACCTTTGCCATCGTTGTCGTTCCACTCCTGATTGTCCTCGTCCACCACTGGTGCGTCGCTGTCGTTTTCCTGCTCCCCCACACGCAGTCGCTGCACCCCCTGAGTTATGGATTCCTCCCGCCCCGACAGCAGCCCCCGTCGGTGTTCTGCCCACGCCTCCCTCCCGTCCCGTGCATCACCAAGATCGGCGATGCCACAATCCGTCTTCTAGCATTCACCACGACGGCGGGCTGCACTCGAACCGACGGACAGGGGAGACAGAGACTGCATCTACTGGGGGCGACCGGAGGCACCCCTCGACATAGACGACCGGAATTGCTGCCTCAGTGGATCCCTGTTGTTCCCCGACGCCTTCAAGATCGACGCTGGAGACTTCCGTCACTTGCCCGCCGTTGTCGTCGGGATGGGGGGTGACGATGACCGCTCGCGAGGCGGCCGACGACCTCCCGCTACACAACCGAACGACAGATTCACGCCGCCATCGCCTTCGTCGCCGCTGAGCCCTTGCTGGAGGAGTTCGGTGTACGACTAGCCATAACCGCCGTCGCGGCTTCCACACAGCTCTGTAGCCGCCCACTCCTGGGTGGACCTGCTTCCCAGCAGCACGGTCCGTGACCGTCTGTCATCCGCCTCCTCATCGGATGTGTCCGGCAGAGGTTGCAAGTGCGGTGGCAGGTGCGTGCACCCAGACCGCTCCGACGGCCTTGAACTCCTCGACGAGCTCTGCCCAGCCCGCTGGCCACCACCCTGCTCCCCTGCAGACCTGCAGATTGCCTGGCGCCCCTCCATCCTGACGTCCTTCTTCAAAGACCGTCTTTTGCGGGCACGTCGCGGAACGCTGCCGAGGATGCACACGTGGAAGACAACTAAAAGGAGGAGCAAGAGGATGACCAGCACCAACAGCGGCATCCTCCGAAAGACGTCGGCCATGAAAGGCACGTGGACGACGGCAGCAGCTAGAAGACAACGGTGGACGTCCAGGAAACGGCGAGGGACACTGGTGCAAACGATCGAAAAAAGCAGCTATCGACAAAAGCAGGGTAACGTATTCCGTCGCGGAAGACACTGCACAATGGGGAGAGCGGGGGTCGGCTGAAGTATTCGAATCTGCCGACCGTTGGGTGCCTTCCCGCTCGGGGCCAACGGCAGCGACGCAAGGCAGCCCCTTTCGACGTCGTGGAGGCCAGCAGGCCGCCAAAGGGGACCTTTGGCGGACAATTCCATGACGACAACCATTGCCGACCGAAGATGTCCGTCCAGGGGCCGCCAGGAACAGCAATGGACCAGCCGCGTTGAAAATTGTCGTCGACAGAGCTGCCGTCGATGCCTCGATTCTTTCGGATGCTCGACCTCCAAGGGACCTCGGGAGGTCCCTTGGGGAACGTGTCGAAATGGCTGTAGCCCGAGGAATCCCCAAGGAATCCTCGAGGAAATGTTTTCACATTTTTTTTTCAACATCTTCCTCGAGGATAAGTGGAACGATGATTTCCTCGGGGGATTTACGCGCCCGAGGAGTGTCGAATGAGCCCCATAATGGTGATGTAAAGCTGGTGCTCAAGGGCCATGCAATCAGGTTTCAAACAATCAAAAAAGAAAAAAAGACGAAATGAAGCCGAAATGGGTCAAGCCATCATGACTCTGCAGCGAAGGAGGCCCAAGTTAAAAAAGAAAAAGACATAAAAAGAAAAAGTGAACTCATCATCACTCTGCAGTGTTGGCAATGGGCCTCGCTGCACTTCTCTCCGAATGTGCAAAATGAGACTGAATCTTCTGCTAGAACATGGAAAGATACATTGCCAGTTTTTTGTCTTTTGTGCATGTGGAGGGTAGTGTAGCGAGGCCCAACGACTCCAATGAGCAATAAGGCCCTCTCTCTATCTCTGTCTCACCACACCACTCGTGAAATGTGCAAAATGAGAACGAAGTTCTTGCTAGAACATGGCCGGTTGCACGCGCCACATTTTTGCCTTTTTCACGTTTCGACAGTCGTGTGGCGAGGTCCTACGTGTGTCTAGCCAGTCGCAGTTGCAGTGATGAGAAGAGGACCTAGCCCTCTCCCTACCTCCACGATTGAGGTTATCACAAAGCAGAAGCACCTGTTCCTTACGTGTATGTGTTCGGAACGACCGGATGATGACTTCGCCTACTCCCTATCCGCACAATGTAGACCCTACAGCCCTACCCTCCCTGACCGTAATTGTGGTCATATACATTCATGAAAGGCGGGTGGGAAGGACTGTAGGGCTATCCCTACAGTCTGAAGATGGGCAACCTGGTGCAGTACCTGCTGGTGAAGACCGACAACCTCTAAAGAGTCAAACCACTTTGGGCACTGCTGCCTTTCCCCGACTTGAAAAACTGTGGGAGGCGAAGTGGGGCCCGCCACCGCAAACCGCACTGCAGTCCCCACGAGCGCTATGCTTATGCTGTGAAAGCACGAACTTAGTCAGTAATAGGGCCGGGTTCATGCTATTGCATCATTGGGCCCTGTCCATCACTGCGGAAGAGGTTAACAGGGAACCCCACTTTTCAGGATTGAACACCAGTACACAGCCCCAACCTTGCTGAAAAGAAAACTCGTACCCTACAAACATTTCGGAGGCCCAGCGCCGTAGATAAATTGAATCGGTGACGAGCGGCCTCCTAAAAGGGCCCGCGCCCGATAGCTAGATGTACTGGTGGTTTAAACCGCAAGTACACGGCCCCAGCCTTGCAGAAAGTTTTTGTCGCCACAAGCAAAACTCAGAGGGGCCACGCAATGTAGGGTGCCGTCAAAGAAAAAATCGACGGCCTCCGAAGTGGTGGGGGTTTCGAGCTGACACCCGCGGTGTCGAAAGATGATGCGGCACAGCAGCGGAAATTGACTCGCCGCGGTCAACTCCCGCGCTGCGTCAAACTTGCATCCGCAGTCATGGTCAAGCTGGGCCCTAATGCATCGATTAGATTTCCCCTGGGCCAAAACCGAGGGAAGACGGCGCGACGGTACAGTCCCCTGGAGACCTGATCTTCCTCGTTGGACTGGACCGACGCGACCGCAATGGGTCAATTAGTGGGGTCCGGTCCAAACGACACTTGAAACAGACCAAGGGTTAGCGAGATAATTAAGATTGACCGGTTGGGACCGGACCGACACGACCACATAACCCAGCCGGAAAAGGAACAACCCTAAGCAGCCGTATAGATGAACAGCCAGGCCCGAATAATTAAAATAGGGTCATGTGCTATTTTTAGCACGGGACTGACTGTTCGTTTCCCAAAGTTGGGCCTGCGCCAGTCCCGTTCTAAAAATAGCACAGCCCCATGCTATTTTTAGCGTGGGATTGACTGTTCATCTACCGGGGACTGGGCCTACGCCAGTCCCGTTCTAAAAATAGCACAGCCCCACGCTATTTTTAGCGTGGGACTGACTGTTCATCTACCGGGGACTGGGCCTGCTCCAGTCCCATTCTAAAATTAGCACAGTCCCACGCTATTTTTAGCGTGGGACTGACTGTTCATATCCCGAGGTCGGGACTTGCTGCTATTTTTAGCACAGGCCCGGTCTAGAGTTTGACCACAGCCCCGACCACGGGACTGCAGCACTCAGCCCCGGTCACTCGGCCTCTCCATTATAAAAGAGAGGCCACGTCACCCAAGAACACAGATCAGTGTGCGACAGATCAGCATACGTGGCGCATGCGGCTGGAGCACTTCAGCCTTGGCGGAACGGCAAGAGGCGGAGAGTGTGAGTCAAAGATCAGCGACTTGCCAGCAGGAGTAAGAGAGGAGCACGGAGCAGGAGGCAAGAGAGTCAAGCGGAAGGCAAGCCAGGGAAGGGATAAGGAAAGGGGGGGGC